CTATTACTATTGTTTATTAAATATATCAAATTAAATACAATAATAATAATAATAATCATAATAATAATGATGAGTAAGTGAAATCCAAAGCATAGGATATAACACAAGCTAAAATAATTTAAACACTTACAACAAACATCACCAGTGAGAAGATAAAGTGATTTTTATGGGGAAAAAATTAAACTAATAATCTAAATACATATATATTGGCACTGTAAAATGAAAATATGTAAATATGTCTCTAAATATTAAAATTTGTTTCCTGAGTTCAGAATCATTTTGGTCATTTTCTATATTAACATCAGAGAGAGAGGACAGTTTATGATAAAACAATACGTCTCCAGTCTCTTTTTATCATATTAAACCAGATCAGTCCGTCTGTTCTGATTAAACTATTCTGATTTAAAGTCCACAAAGTAATTTTCAAAACAGCAAAAAAGAGGAAACTTGAACGTCCAGTTTCATGATGCGTATTTGACGTCATGTCAGGTGGCTGAACCCCGGTTAACTGACAGAAATGTAATCAGTGACATTTTTAATGATCAGTTTCTTTGTTTAATCTCGTTTAACGTCAAATATTTAAGTTCCAGCTTTTCTCAGTGTGAAGATTGGAAGCTTTTCTTCTTCTATTGTTTTTTTTTAAACTCTAATATTTGAGTGTTTCACTGTAGCTGTGGAAACATGACACGGACACCATGTCCTTGTTTTCTGACACCATGAGTCTCCGTCCTCTCCTGCAGGGTCCAAGATAAAAGTCTGGCTCCAAGTGGGTCAAATATTTGATTATTATATCACACACACACACACACACACACACACACACACACACTCTGGGCTAAACTGTAGTTGAGTTAGTTTTGTTATTGAGCTGCAGATTTTAATGAACTGTGGAAAAATAAATTCAGAACAAAACTGACTGAGCTCTGAAGACCCTCTCAAACTCTGGCGGTCCAGTGGTGGCGGGCGGAGACACCGAGTACTTCCTCCTGGCGTAGATCACCTGCAGAGAGAAATAGGCTGCACACACACACACACACACAGAAACAGGTTAAGTCCATCTACAGTATCAAATATCTAACTTCTCTCTATGTGCTTCAAAGTGTTATAAATCATATCTGATGTTTGTGTGTGTCAGACGTGGCTGATTAAACTCAGCAGCTGTGTGTTCAGATCAAAGGTCAGTGTGTTTGTAGTAAATGCAAAGTTGATTCATAAAAAGAGCTCATTGCTCATACGACAAAATGGAAGCAGAGAAAAGCTGAAGGCAGACGGGCTGATTATAAGAACACAAAAAAATACTAAAATAATTTAAAAAATAAAAATCAATTGGAAAAAAATAAAATCAATTAAATAAGACAAATTCAAACACTGTGAGCATCATTTAAAAGCACGTATGGGTTAGGACAGTTTGAAATACAACCAGCCTCCAGTCATCTCCCTCCACATTAAACCAGTCCACCCAGTCTCCTCTCACATTTCCCAGCATGCCCTCTTACCTTGCTCCAGGATGCCCAGCACGGTCACAGCACCGAGGCCGACTGCGTCCTCCGACATCTCTGCAGCGGGATGGCGAGTCAGAGCGACAGGCAGGAGGCAGACACACACTCACACACACACACACACACACCTGAGCACTGAAACACAGTCTGAGGGTACAGGCAGGTAACACTGGCAGAGAGCACACCTGCAGGGGGGCGGGGCAAAGACTGACAGTTAGCCAGGTGAGTGACCAGCCCACACAGGTGAGGTGGATGTTTCTGGACAAAGAATTTCTGCTTTTAAACTTTAATAAAAGTTCTTGGATCAAAAATATTTAGTTGAAATCTTTTGTTAGAGACAACAAAGTAGATACTGTTGAAAGTCCAGTGTGTAGGATTTAGAGGGATGCATTAAATATTATATATATAATAAATGTTTAATATAATTGTATAAAATGTATTTAAGTCACCTAAAAAAAAATCAATATCAGTTTAAGTGTTTGCCACATTGAGAGAATTTTATTGTCAGACACTGATTTCCAACAGGAAAATTAAGCCGTTGTATCTCTCTCTTCACAACCAGACTCCATTGAGAAAAACAGTGATTTTACATTGCTGAACACAGGAGCTGCTGGTCGACTGCTGCCTCCATCAGCCAGTTAGTTTCTGTTATTGTTAGTTTGGTGAATCCAAATGAACCCTTTAAACACCAAAGTCACACAATGACATAAACTGACTGACCGACTGAAGCAGCAGTAGACCAGCAGCTCCTGTGTTCAGAGAGCTTAAATCACTGGTTTTGTCAATGGAGTCTGGTGACTCTGACGAGAGCAGAGATGGGGAACTGAAGCCGTTAACTGCTTTTCCGTTGGAACAGACGGTCTGATGGAAAGGTGAAGTGGGGAAAATACTCTCATTATGGTGTCCACTTGAACGGACATTGATTTTTTTTTTTAGGTGTTTAAAATACATTTTGTGTCCGACCCCTCCACAGCAGATGTCTCAGCCTCCATGTTGGACTCTGGTCTACTGACATCAGCTGCAGTCGTTCTCAGATGGTGTGTCATGTGATAACCACACATTATTATTGCAATATTCAACTGGGTCTATACAAAAAGTTAGGGATGATTTTTTTTAATCGACTGTATCAGTATCCGTGACGCCAGGGATCAACACGCCCAGAATGCACCGAATCCTGACTCCTGTCCCCGTGGGTGGTGGGCCCACAGGACAGCAGCTCCATGTTAGTTTTTCAGGCTGACCCTGTCCCCATATCAGACGAGGTGCTCAAAGTTCTACAAGTCTGTTTCATCAGTGTTTTCTTGAACCACTCTTAGTCTAGCCCCTCCTCTGGGACCACTTTGCCTCAGGAGACCCTACCAGGGGCTGTTAGCCCCGACAACACAGCTCCCAGGATCACGGGGACATGCAAACCCCTCCACCACGTTAAAGTGGCCATTCTTGGAGGAGGCTCCAGGGCAGACACAGAACACGCTGGAGGGATTATACGTCTCATCTGGCCTGGGAACACCTCGGGGAGAGAGACGTCTAAAGTGCTTAGCTCAGCCTGCTGCCCCCGAGACATGGCCCCGGATGGGAGGATGAAAATGGATGGATGGAAATGTAAAAAATGTAATTTAATTTAACCTATTTGTCACCGCTCCTTGGGCACAAAAAGTTTGAAAACTGTTGATCTACTGTGTAACTGTCTAAGGATAAGCACTGTATACAACTTCACTTTATAAAACCTATCTGTCCCTTTAATCTGCTCTTTAATATGTTTAATGTTTAATTTTACAGAAAATGTTAAAGGTTTGACGATGTAAGAGGTGGTCATCGTTTTATAAAAGATGGCTCACTTTAAATTAACTACTAGTGATGTCAGATGAGTCGCAGATTATTCCTCCTGATGTCAACACACACACACACACACACACACACACACACACAGAAAGACACGGACAACAGATGTGTTTCTAAAGAACTATATTTACATAATACTCTTGTTTTACAGAGAACCATATCAAAAGTATAAAATACTTACAAAAAATCCGCTGCAATATATAAAAATAACATCTATCTTCTCCAGATCATTAGGAAAGGCATACATACAAAAAAATATATTTATAGACATTTACACAGTTAAACCCAGAAACCCCGGGAGGCCGAGCGACGCTGGAAGCTGAAGATTCGGCAGGAGATCGGTCGGCAGCGATTTGGATGAACACGTGAAACCAGCCCCAAGCTACTGTTTAGCAATAATAACATTACAAATAAAATACACAACAAACGTTTCTTTGAAGAAGTCAAAAACAGTACAGTAGATAGAAGGACCGGGTCACAGTTCCACCTTAACAACAACATAACAATAGGACGACCTGGTCACAGATCTGCCTTAAAAAGGCCGGAGACACAGACTGACGGTTAGCGGTGAGAAAAGATCGGACGGCAGAGGAAGAATCGGACGATGAACACGGACGTGAAGCGAAGGTCCGACTATATTTATATAATGAGAACCATGAGGACACAACTCTAAACATCACATTCAACGTTAAATTCGTCTTCTGCCGTCCGATCTGACAGGATGTAGTTTTAACACTTTGATGTTTGAGCTTTTTATCCGCCGTCACAAAAAGGCCACATTTTGAATTTGGGAAACTTTTCAGGAGCTAAAAGCTGCGCTCAAAACTTTAACGCTAAAAAACGTCCAAATTTCAAGCAGGAAAATTTTCTTTACTGATCGACTCTGGAAATATTTTTTATATTTTGTAAGACATTTAATTTGTGTTTTTTTGTTTACATCACAATAACTGGGTATCTGCTGTCAGTTCATTAACATTAATGCTCAAAGGATATCTGACTTAATGTTTGCCTCTTTGGGCTCGTGGGACATTTTTGCCTGAATTCAGACTCCCAGGCAGACCATCCCTTTACCTTCTCCACCTGCTCAAACCCCCAAATCTATTTTTTTTATCTGCTTTTAACTGGAGTCATGTTAAAGCCTTAATCATTGTTTTTCACCCGATTTTTATCCCTAGTGTTTATTTTATTTTACTGACTTTTATTTATTGATTTTTAACATTTTATTGTTGTACTTTTTTAGTCTTGTAATTTTTAAAAATTATTTATCTTTATTTTTATTTTTTGCATGTTATTTCAGTTTTGCTGTATGAAGCACTTTGGGCTGCATGTTTGTAAGAAAGGTGCTAAATAAAGTTGAATTTAACCATCTAAGAATGCAGCATTAGATGAGAGGAGGTGCACAGCCTGGGAGGCTACGTTCAGGGCAAAATAGTCCCCACTCACAACAGGGTTCCTGCAGATTTTTTGCCATAAATTTTCCTAATAATAATAATAATAATAATAATAATTATAATAATAATAATAATAATAATGCCCAAATATTTTACCCCATTTCCATTTTTGTATTTAGGTAGTTAAAGATGGACCTGTATAGTGATACAGTCATATATGTATTTCCCAGGCATTTGTGGATTAGAAAACTGCTAGCGCTTGCTAACTTTACTACCACTGCCAAATACCTGCGTACACCAAAAGACCAGACCGGCACATGCACTTACGTCACACATCATCGAGGCCACACCCCTTTGGAGAGGCCAGAAAATCTAACTTCCTGTAGATTTCAATGCAATTTGACTTGTTTGGATCATAGTTTCTTAATTTCTTTGTTTTGTTGATATGCCTAATAATTGTTTTGTGACCTTGTCTGACCCTGAGCATTCACAACAACAACTTAATAATTTAAGGTCAATCTCCCTTGCCGAGTGGATCAGTGGCCCAAAATGGGGTGTGGCCTAAGCGATAATGTCAGTCTGGTTCATGAGTATCACATGATAATAGTGACATTTCAACGATCACGCAGCATAGCGAAGTCTTATTAGGACGTCATTGCTGGTGACACGAAACATGTTTTGGGATTTTCATGACGATGGGAACCCTGTTATAAGTAATTTCTGAGTAACCAGGTGTTTATTTCATTTTCCAATTCGACTTGAAACGCAGCTCTAACAGATGTATTACAGTACTGTAGCACAGACTGAACAGTGTCTTCCTGCATTTACATGAAATCTACAGGAAATTGAGTCCTAAAAAGTTTTACCAAAACACTGAAATATTGAGCAAATGACTGCGAACTTCAAACGTGACCAGACGAGGTTAATGCTTCATGTTTCTGTGCCGACTGGAGCTGCGACCATTAGCCAGTTAAATCGAGTGAGAATTAATCTGCGACTATTTTGATGACGAATTGTTTCAGTTTTTTTAAAGCAAAAATGTGACATTTCTAGGTTCTAAAATGTGACGATTCACTGCTTTCCTCGATCTCACATTTTAATAACGTGAATATTTTTAGATTTGGAGATGTTGTTTGGAGAAAACAAGACGTTTGATGAAGTCTCTTTGGGCTCCAGGAGACTGTGACAGGATTTTCTCTCTGTTTTCTCATGTGTTATAGACCAAACGATTAATCAAGAAAATAATCTTCAGATTAACAAACATAAAGTAAAGTCAGTCTTTGTGTGAGGTGGAAAACCTCACTTTTCCCAATCAGCTCAGTTTAAGTTTACAGGTCAGAAAACTGAAGTTTAAAGCCAGAAAGTTTCACACAACTAAACTTCAACGTGTGTTTGATGAACTGATTTGAAATGTGGTTTAACTGGAGTCGTCCCGCAGACTCAGAGTCTGAGCATGGACACCTGGACACACAGGTGGACTCAGTGCAGCGGGAGGAAGTGGAGCTCTGATTCGGTTTAATGCTGACGACGTTTACATCTTAAACAAACAGAAAACATCGGAGTGGGATCTACAGTGCCTTTTGTGTCTCTGCTGGTCGGTGTGCACGTTTCATGTCACGATTCTTTTCTTCACACGAACTCTAAAAGCTCAGATTATAAAAAGGAACATACAGCTGCTTTTGCATGTTTTACTGGAGCTACGTTCACTGAGGATCAGCTGAGTCACAGACGTCCTCTGGTTAATTGATCTGTCGTCTTAAAATGATCAGAAAACTGGAGGAACGGCAGTCTGGTGAATCTAGATAAACTGGAATCTTCTTGGAGTTTTTTAAAAAGATTTTCTGCAAATGTAAGCATGAATGACACACTGCAGATATTTTGGTGCAAACAAAAAACACTTGACTAAAAGACATTCAGTCGTTCCACTCAGTCAGTCAGTCAGTCTGACAGTCAGTCAGTCAGTATGAATACTTTAAAACAAATGTCCCTTTACACGACAGCAGATCAAACAATACACGCTGTGTTGTTGGTATTTAAATAGCGGTGTGTGTTTCCAGATATTTCCCTACGGTATGAAAATTAACTTGCTTGAATTTTGGCTCAGCCATCACGCCTGCTTTTAATTCATCACAGTAACACGTTGTGGTAAAATGATACCACAGTAATATAGAACTAAAGGGCAGACATGATGTGATGGATGAATTTTTATACTGAAGTGAAATAGAAATAGACAGATTGTTTTTCAACCTTTCTGATATTGTTGTGTCTAAGTGACTTATGGAGATGATTATTTATTTTAAATTGGTCCAGTAATGAGAGAGCAGCTCAATCGGCAGCTATGAAACAGGCTGCAGTGTGAGCACCAGACGCACGTTCACACCGTCGATTTACGTCTAATAATAGTGCTGATTTTTGTTGACAACATTACAGACAGAATCCCGACAGAGAAATCAAATGTTTATCTTCATCTTAATCCGGTCCGTTTGTTCTTGTGACCTATAAAGTCTTGCTCAAGGAGAAGTCTCATTCTGAAATCCAGCGAGACATGATGTGTTACAGGTAGACGGAGAGCGGTGCACCAGTCACAGTGGCAGGTGAACAAAAAGTTAATTTCCAACCCTGCTTACAAACCAAATCTACATTGATTTATCAGCTCCCGATCTGTCTGTGAGCTGTGATTTCCCCTCACCGGCTACGGTGGGCACATGCAAACTTGATTTCTTTCCGTGAAGCTGACATGAGAACCATTTTGGTTCAGTAAATTCCTGCTGTCTGTCAGCCTGGTGAAGGCAAGTTATATTTCCACTCAGCTTTCAAGGAGCTGCTGCTGACAGACAGCTGAGACGTTTACAAAGACGCCGTCAAGAGTGGATTGGATGACAGGACTTTTATGCACCACTCACGTCTCACTTCCAGTGGGATTCCCAGTGAGAGTTATCTAAACAATTTCGATGTCGTGGCTGCTTATTTAGCGGATTTCGGAAATGTGAAAAAGTCTGAGACTTCAAAACAACATAAGGTTAAGAAAATGTTTTCATTGTCAGACACTGAGCCTGTCGAAGGACAAACGAGCACTTGACACTGACAGTGCGTTTTCTCTCCGAGTGGGTACACTACATCCTGTTTTGCGGCTTCAAGCTGCAGCGCTCTCTCTCAGTATTGGACCAATTTAAAAACTGTTTTTCCCATTAGTTGCTTTGATACAAAGTTATAGAAAACAGGGTCGAGGCTGGAAAATATCTCTTTAAAAACACGACAGGATGTTTTGGTAAACGGTCACAGTAATAAGAAGTATTTGTGATCGGCAGCAAACTGGTGTCAAACATGCAAAAACAGCGGTATGGCCCTTTATAATGACTTATTCACATAATGCTTACGTGTTAATTTCTGTGAAACAATCAGCTGCGTTTTTTTTTTTTAAAGTGGAAACAGACAACTTTTAAACTTTCACCCCCTGACGTTTCCAAGTGGTATTATTGTTGGCGCCACTTTTACAAAGACAACCGGATCACCTCAGAGCCCAGAAACTACCAACAGCAGAGGACACGCTGCGTTTTGTTTTCCACTGTGTTTCTACATCCACTTCCTCTACTGGGGACAGTGACTGCAGAGATCTCACACTGACACTCTTTGGTAACTGGGGGTAGCTACCGTTAGCTTCAGGGAAAACAAAGCTGACGCACTTCCTTTGTGTCGTAAATTGAGCCTTCATTTTCCCGCAGTTTGTATCCAAGTACAGACAGAATTGCATAGTGAATTGAGGCTTAAAGTGAACCGCTCTAAACACAGACGGTGTCGTTATTAATTTTGCCATCAGCACTTACTTCATCATGAGTTAAAGCAAAAAACTTGTCCATTTCCACTTTAAGAGTGATTTAACTTCATCTCCGCTGAGCGAAGAAAACTGTAAGAGAGTCAACCCGTCGTCAAGGTTTTTGAAACTGCGACCGAATGATGCTGCTGGTCTGTAGGTGGCGCTGTGGGGCAGGTACAGTGGTTTAGCACTGAGCCATAGCTTCAGTAGTCTTAATACGACTCCTCCTCCGTTCAGTCTCCAGTCATCAATAAACACTGCGGTGTGCAACAGGATTATATTTACACACACTCCTTATCTGCAGACTGGACATCAGTCTGCGGCTCGTTTACAGATTTACACACGAGGTAGAAACAGAACTGGTTGATATCAGCCCATAAAATAAAAGTTACTCTGTTAATATAGAAAATAAAATAATAAAACCTTGGAAATGCTTTTTTGTTGCTGGTAACTGCACTCTGAAACTGCAATTCGACTGACGTTGGATGATACAACAATTTAGACCATGAATCAACAGATACTGGTCCACTGACATAGATGTTATTAAACCGTTTACACCAGGGTGACTATCTTTATGGATATCGTAATCAAAACTCAATGACTGATTAATTGAGTATAGAACATAGTGAAGTTAAAGAGCATAAAAAGGAGCTAAACTGAACTGCTTGCAGCTCAACACGTAACTGTTTTGCCTGTTTTCTTTTACACTTTGATGGATGGCAGCAAACACACTTTTGAAAACTGTTTTGTATAGATGAACAGTGTTCAGTGGATCTCCTGTATCCCGAATTTACCAGCAGACTCTGGTGAATCAGAGAAGGCTTTTAAGTTACTGTTCTACCAGGTGTGTAACTCTGCAAACAGCAACTCATCGTTAAATTGCCAGATTTTTGAATGAAGCCTGGTGTCATTCCTCTCAGTCAAGAGGATGACACACATCAGGACTCCAGCTGTGACTGAGCTGGTTTTATCTGCTACCAGCTGTTGGATTTCAAACCTCCGGCGCTCAGCTGACTGTCTGCTGAACCAAAAGGTCTTTGATCAAGATTCACTACCAGGACTCTACACTCTGACTGCTGTGGGAACTGAACTCTAACCAGCAGGAACACCAAACATCCTCATGTTTCTTCATTGCATTGCAATGGATTTGGCAGCTGGCTCATATCTCAGTGATTTATTCTACCCTGATAAAATGTGACACAGTCTCATCGTTATCAGGACAGCGAACAGCTTGTCCACAGATCAGCATCTGAAGAAATGTTTACCAACGACCTTCATAACTTTACCAGTCAGCCAGATGTTACAGCTCAAACACAGAGGGACTGACATTCACCATCAGCTGGCTGGTCTCAACGTTAGCAGAGTGGCTAATGCTAACACACCGGCCCCCTGACTGCATCTCTGTCAACACGTTACAACAGTGCTGGTCAGAAACAAGAACTCGTTTTCAACATGTCTGCTGCAGAAAGTCGTCAGCCGCTCGTCTTCCAGGTACAGCAGTGCAGCCGCTCAGCTCAGCAGGGTTCAGGTGCTCCAGGTGCAGACAGGTGTATTCAACTAATGGTGGCTGGCAAGAAGTTCGTCCAGGTCGGCCATCCACTCCTGGGTGCTCTGACCCTTCAGCAGGGAGTCCACCAGCTCACTCTCCCCGGCAAAGCTCCCCGACGCCACGTTGTATCCGAACGACACCTGCTGCTGCTGCTGACTGGCAGTCCTGCTCACCTGGTAACCTTGGTTACACTGCAGTCCCTGGCGGCTGTTGCCCTGCGGCTGTCCGAATGCCGCCAGGTCAGGGAGGACAGCCTGGTTCTGATTGGCCTGTTGCTGTTGAGTCTGCTGCTGATTGGCCATCGGCTGGCCGAGGCTTTGAGGGTTGGGCGGCGCCCTCTGTTGGGCAGCTGCCATGTTTGTTTGCATCATCTGCTGGCCGGGGTTCAGACCTCCCATAGGACGTCCGCCGGGGTTTGCACCAAAGGGTGCAGCGCCAGGCGGCATCTTGGGAATGCGAGACTGCTGCTGCATGTGGAAGGCGTTAGGGGGGTTGTTGAAGGCGTTGGGGGGCAGGCCGGCGTTACTGGAGGGCGGCTGGTTGGCCAGCTGCTGCTGCCAGGCGGCACTCTGGGTGCCCTGCATGCTGCCGGGCATGGAGCCAGGCAGGCTTGCTCCCATACTGTTCTGCATGGAGCCCGGCATGCGGGCGGCGGCAGCAGCCAGCTGCTGCTGCTTCAACATGGCGGCATTGGGCTGCGCCTTCAGATGCTGCTGCTGCTGAGCCAGAAGGCTCTGCCGGTAGGAGGCGCTCATGGGGCCCAGAGGCTGGCGCTGCAGGCCAGGCTGCTGCTGAGGGTGAGACGGGTGGGCCGGGTGATTAGTGTGAAGGTTCATGTTGTTGTAGAGCACCTGCTGTACGTCCACACCGGCCCCGCCTCCTCCGCCCCCGCAGGCCGACAGGTTGATGTCACTTTGATTCCCCGCTGAGGGCGGAGCTACACCACCTGTAGGCCCGCCACCAGGCCCCATGCTCATACCCATCATGCCTTGGTTCTGAGAGAACATGCGCTGGGAGCTGGGGGAGGGGCCTCCCATGGAGCCAACACTGCCCATTGGCTGAGAGGAAGCTGTGAAGAAAAGAGACAAGTGTTTGTAAACAGCATCACTAAATATGACATCATTTATCTGTGTAAACAAGAGCAACTTTATTATTTTCATTAGTGGTGAATTTGCCAATTATTTTCTCACTTAGTTGTTTTGTCTATAAATATCAGAAAATAATTTGATCATAGTTTCCTCGGATCACAAGTTTTTAAAATTTTGGTTTCTTTAGAGCAACAGATTCAAAGATTTTCAGTTTAATCCAGAAATCATCATGTTACAGGAAACTGGTTGGGAATTTTAGCCAAATAATAAATGTCTTAAATGAATTATCAAAACAGCGTAATTTTCTGTCGATCAGCAAATCAATCAATCGTTTAGCTCTGATGAGAAACATAACACACAGAATAATTCTTAATGAAACGTTGACACTTGCTGTTAGGTGTTGGGTAAAAGCAGCTTTCAACCAAGTGCCATAAAACATTATTAATTACCCAGCAGCAGGTGAAGCTGTAAATGATGATTTTATTTCTCTATCATCATTAAACACAGACAGTAGTTTCATGTTTAATGTGGCAGCATCAGGACAGTTGAGAATAAACAGACTCAACAGATCATCAGAACGCTACGGCTGCTGTTATTTTCCATTCAAATCAGCGGTGAGCATCATTTACACACACACAGAGAAATGTTTGTCCTGAACGTCACAACAACAACGACCGCCTGCTCCAAACAGATCTGATAAAACTGAGTCTGCACAAACAGCACAGATCAAAATATAATTTCATTTTACCAAACAGCAGCTCTGGTGTTTATCATTTCTTCCATATAACTGTGCTCAGGTTCAGTGAGACCTGAAAACCAACATATTTTTGTGCTACAAATGATTTTACAGTAAATGTTTAATGTTTATTCCTGGATTTATATCATGTTTCCTTTTGTTCTAAAGCAAAGTAAATTGTTTTATTAAGTTAAATACATAGAAATAAACTCCAAAATCTTTAAAACCTCAAATTTAAAACAATCAGAAAATATGGATCAAATATTTCTCTCGGGTGAATTATGATGAATCACGCACAGAGTTCGTGGGTTTTCTCTGTGTTGATAACGCAATATATAGGACCGTATGAATGTAATATTGTAACGTAAACTTGACAGTGTAAGGTTCTTGTTATTTCACAGCTTTCACGCACATACTGGATGATTCAGGTGTTTCTCTGAAGCTTCCAGCTGATCTCTGCTGTCACTATGAAGTCTCTAAGTCCTATCTAAAGTAGAACCATACTAGTGACTCCTGTAACCTAATGGCGTCAGACACGATCATCCTGACTGTGTTACTAAAAACACCTGCTGCACAGGTTTGATTGTGGAGCTTTAAGTTCTCAGAGAGACACTGAAAATGTGCTGGTTAAATGCTTAATGAGCCTTGAAACAAATGGCAGATATAAATGGAGAAAGTCCAGTGGTAGTTTCCACAACAAGCCTCAAACAAAATGAGAACAGAAGCTTTACAGTCAATATTTAAACATTCAAAGCATCCAAACACTCATTCATTGATGCCAGTGAATATGCATTAGCATGCTGAATGTGCTTCTATCACATCCCTTCAACGGTGGAGCCACACTGAGTTCTTCCAGCTCCAGTGGTTCATTTGAGCTCACCATATTGTGACTGACTGGCACGCCAATCCCCTTGTGCTAACCTAAGCACATGCTGCTAAAGGTTTATGGGCAGAGCTTTCGCATTAACTCCGCATAACATGCATCCGTCTACATACCATGTGGTCTGCGTGTTACACAAGTACCTTCGCAGCCCTAATTTAAATGGTAGAATCTGTCTGGAGTGAGAGATGTGTGTTTCATGTTTAGCATCAAATGTGTCTGTGCTGTTTAGATCTGCCGCTCTTGACCCTCACAGTTCTCTTTGGTGCAGACAGCTGTGGACGTGATGCGGCTCTAAGATAACATCGTCTTCTCTCTTCTGCTTTGAAGTGGTGAATTTACACTTCACAGGTACTTCATATGACACACTCTCTGACTTTTGTTTGACATCTAGTGTTACCATAAAATGTTGTTGCACATTTCTGATCCATTGTTAGCGCCATTAGCTTGTTTACTATATTACATGAATGCAGCTGTCACACTGAACGTCTGCTTCAAACTTTAAAACTTTATATGGAAGAAAAAGAAATGTTATTATTAATAATAATATTTGTATTAAACGGCCAAATTGGATTGGACTGGCGTAACTCTGAGTCTGGTGCAGCCCTGATACTGTTTATACTGAGGTTTCTATCCCATAAATACCTCTGGATGTGTTAAAACAATGCAGCTAATCAAACTCATTTCATGATTTGTAAGATTTCTCCCAAATTTATTTCTATAAAATTTGCTTCATCAATGCTCTATAAAATCAAACTCTACAGTATACACTGATCACTATTTTAATCCCCTGATGTCCTTCCAATTGGCTGACGCTGATCGTGTTCCTACCTGTAAACTGGTTGACTGGCTGCTGTGGGAAAGGGTTATGATTGGCCGGTTGTCCCGGCTGGTCCTGGTACTGTGGGGGAGGTCGGGTCAGGTGTCTCTGCAGCTGCTGGTCCTGCTGCCGCTGCTTCTCCTGCACACACACAGAACAGACACACAGACAGACTATTTAGAAACAACAGGACAGTAACGACTAGTTTAATGAAACAAAAGCAGCGTTCCTGGCAAATGAGCAGAGGTGCAAAAACAAAAAGTACATTTTAATGAGTGAGGCATATGGGTCAGTAACTAGAGGACCCCAAACGGACCCACTGTCCAGACGCTGACCTAGAATAATGAGCTTCTAATCAGAGTTAGTTTAAGCTAAGATGTTTATCAGCTTGATATTTGATATTTACAGCCTCCCCAAAAGCTTCCTGGGGTTTGCATTATTGTAGTCCTGTTATACTCAGGCACAATATGAACACGTGGAAAAACATGTCATACTTTAAAGGATCACAACATAAACCCAGAGCAGTCCTGACTCTGTTCACAGCTGCATCAGGAGGCTCAAAGCTGTGACATAATTTTATAAACAATCAGCTCCCTCTAGTGTCAAAATATGTTCACAGGCTGGCACTTTTTCTTCTACAGCAGGTTTAAACATAAAGCACGACATCCCACAGTGAATAAAAACGTGCTCACACAATCAGACATATCTGTTCTCTATGTTTACCTGTTCGGCCATGAGCTGCTGTCTCTGCATGTACTGCTGCTTCTGCTGCTCCAGGATCTGCTGCTGATGCTGCTGCTGTTGCTGCTGCTGCTTCAGTGCCGCCGCCACCGCCGCCTGGTTGCTCAGGTACGCTGCGTTACTGTGGTTACCCGCCATGGCGTTCGCCCCCGGCTGGGCTGCCATGGCGTTGTTTCCGGGCGCAGACGCCATGGTGTTGGCGGGGCCCGGGCCGTGTGGAGGGGCAGGGTAGGAGTTCTGGTCCTGACAGAAACATAAATCAATATGATGTAGTTATCAGTGTTTGGAGGTTTGTGATTACAGACCGGAGTGTATTGACCCAAACAAAAATTCAGTTCATTCATTCATTTAGAGTCAGACTTAATCAAGAAATTCTTACTCTTCTTCTGCTTCTTCTTCTTCTTCAACAAACATATTGGCCTACTCTTTGCAACAAATGAACAATAATAAGCAGAAATATTCTCCATATTTCTAAAATGATTCAACAGTTCTCCCAAACCTCCTCCAAAGAACAGCATCCTGTCAAATTCCAGGATATTCCAGGACTACAACCCCAAACACAGTACATCTATTTTATTGAATCCTACTCAAATTCTTTAAATTTCTATTTCATTTATTATATTTTATCATTTTAAAGTGTTTGCTTGCTACTTTTGAACATGTTAAAATGTTTTTAATTGTGTGTAAAATGCATTTTTTACTTTATACCCTGACTGATAGCTTTTATTTAGTTATCTCTTTGCATATTAACATATCATAATTTATTTGTTGATTTCATTTTGTGTCATAAATCTGAATCTGCTAAGTACTACATGTATCATATAAATGTGATGCAGTCAAAAGTACAATATTTCCGTCTGTGTAGTAGAAGTGTAAAGAAGCAGAGACAGGACAGTTTTGAAGTACTTGTACAGTACTGTAGTGTACTGTGTGTGTGTTTCATCACTGCTGACAGAACTGTGTGGAGGCCTGAGGAGGAGGAGAAATACTTAAGTTTGTACAAATATAGGTAAGTATAAGTTTTAAGTGAAGTTGAGCAGGAACAGAGCGTCCCGACTGCAGAGAGGAAAAATACAAGCAGCAGCAGCAGCTATATTTAAATACAGAGAGAATATGAAAGGCTGCTTTGTCACTGCCTCCCTTCACCCCCCGTGTGAGCCTTAGCAACCAGCTGCTTCACCAACACACACACACACACACACACACACACACACACAGAGTCAGTGCACGTTAAAGCGTGGGGCCCAGGCCGGTCTGAAGCAGCTGAACAAAAGGCCTCCCTGCTGCAGACCGACTTCACCTCCACTCAACAAACTGCTCTGTACTGGTCTTCATCTGCACCTGTTGGACTGAAACCAGTACAACCACAGGCCAGTGTGACTCACTGTGGATACCAGTGTGACAGAGTCTGAGTGCTGGACTGACTTATATTTAGTTATACATTATAAATAAATATCATCATATATATTATACTAAATTACATTTCATGTTCTGTTAATTTATTTCTTTGACTGTTTTCACTGCCACTTCAACTTCTTTCATTAACTGCATTGTGAGTGTCACTTCAACTTCTTTTGTTACCTCTTTTTCAACTGCCACTTTCTTTCATTGACTGTTTTCACTTCCTTTATAATTTCTTTTGTTAAATGTTTTTACTGCCACCTCAACTTTTTTCGTTAACTGCATTTTGACTGCCACTTCAACTTCTTCCATTGACTGTTTTTTCATTGCCATTTTAATTTTTCTTTGTTAAATGTTTTTACTGCTACTTCAACTTAATTTGTTAATTGCATTTTGACAGCCACTTCATCTTTTGACCGTTTTCACTGCCACCTACACTTCTTTTGTTGACTGTTTTTTAATGCCACTTCAGCTTCTTTCATTAACTGTTTTTTTAACTGTCACTTTAATTTCTTTTGTTGATTGTTTTACTGCAGCTTCAACTTCTTTCGTTAACTGCATTTTGACTGCCACTTCAACTTCTTTCAGTAACTCTTTTTTAAACTGTCACTTTAATTTCTTTTGTGAACTGTTTTCGCTGCCACCTTATTTTCTTTGGTTGATTTGTTTCACTGCCACTTTGATTCCATTTATGAACTGTTTTGACCGCCACTTTAACTTCTTTGGGTAAATGTTTTACTGCCGGTTCAACCTCTTTCATTAACTGTGTTTTGACTGCCACTTCAACTTCTTTCATTGACTGTTTTCATTGCCAATTTAATTTTTCTTTGTTAAATGTTTTTACTGCTACTTCAACTTAATTCGTTAATTGCATTTTGACAGCCACTTCGTCTTTTAACCGTTTTCACTGCCACCTACACTTCTTTTGTTGATTGTTTTTAGTGCCACTTCAACTTCTTTCGTTAACTTTTTAAATTGCCATTATTTTCGTTAATTGTTTTGTTTTCATTGCCACATTACTTTCTTTGTTAAATAACTGCAACTTCAACTTATTCCATTTACTACATTTTGACAGTCACTTCAACTTCTTTCATTCACCGTTTTTACTGCCACTTCAACTTCTTTTGTTGACTGCATCTTGACTAACTCAACTTATTTCATTTATTGTTTTACAGTCACTTCAGTTTCTTTCGTTATCTGCATTTTGACTAACACCTCAACTTATTTCGTTAATTGTTTTACTGCCACTTCAACTTCTTTCATTCACAGTTTTCACTGTCACTTCAACTTCTTCTGTTAACTGCGTTTATATTGCTTCACTACTCCTTTCATTTCAACTGCAATTACTACTTCTTCCATTAACTGTTTTGAAGCCACTTCAACTTCTTTCACTACGTTTACTATTTAAAATATTGCAACTACAACATTTTAAGCAAAACTAAACTTTTTTATCCATTTCTAATTTCTTTTAGTGGATGAACACCTTGTACAGCTCCATCCATCTCATACACAATTATTGTTCACTTTTGGTAACACATTTCTGTTTCATATTTTTCTGGCTGCGGCACAAGGAGATGACATCGCTATCTTGTTAATCTGTGATTGGCTGAGTTGTTTTTTCAGATGGGCAACAGTCATCTGGTCTGGAGCCGGTCTGGCCCATAGGGGACGCTAGCAGGACTTCACACTGTTAATCTTAAAAGTTACTTCTCTTGATCCAGTGAAGTCAAAGTTAAACACAGTGAAGAAGGAAGCCTCTGTGGCCGACAGAGACAACAAAGACAACAGACTGGAGTCAGTTCAAATCCTGACAGAGTTACAGCGCTGCCCCACCCCCTCCATGTGTCTTGTACGCCCACGCTGAATTTAAGGAAAGCTAATGTCTCTTCTTTCTTTAGGTACATTGAGTTTTTTAAGTAGTGACTGTGTCCAAACTGAATCAGACAGCAGGAGACTCTGCTGCTGCAACAGACCCTCATTGTTCAGACTCGTCGTACATCAGTCCAGCGCAGCTGTGTGGGAGTGGGGACCTGGGTTTATTTATTAGATACCTTCAGTGTGTGTTACATTTAATATTAAAGCCAGGGAGTCTGTTCTGTATCGTAAGGATTCACTATAAAACTGTTTTTAAGACTTTATAGAAACAACCTGCAGTGTGAAGGATTTTGTGTGTGTATGTGTGCGCGTGTGGTTCAGTCCAGGAATGTGCTGCCGGCCTGGTTATGAAAGCAGAGCAGAAACACTCTGATCAGTCGGCACAGTCACTGTTGTAGTGTTGTGATATTAGCACGCATGCTACAGTTAGCATCTGCTGCTGAGAAGTTTAACTCCAAAACTCTCAACCATTAAAAACCTTTGAGGTCACACTGTTAGCCACAGATGTGGGTTTTATTTCTCAGCAGTCCTCATCATTTTTACCAGATGATGCACTTGTTGTAAAATATTTTATCCAATGTAAGGTTTAAAATGAACCTTAATACTTAAATATAATAAATAATTACATAAATTCACTATATTTTCTATGGAGTCTTGTTCTAATTAGAATTTTAGCTGTCAAAACATTATCATGCTGCGTGTATATTTTTGGACGAATGTGTTTCTGTGGCAGGAGCAGTTTTGTTCACATGATAACAGGAAGCTGATGCAGTGTCACTTTGACCTCTGATGACCCTCATATTTGTTTTTATACATTCTGTGATATTCAAGTAACTAAAGTTAACTCTATTGTTAATGTTGGTGATGTTACCTTGCTGTTTAAGTGCTGTTGATGTGATGCAGTGATGGTGTTCGTTGTGTTCTTACCTGTGAGTGCGGTATGTGCTGGCGGAAGTTCATGCTGTTCTTCTGTTTGATCTGCTGCTGTCTGAGCAGCGTCAGCAGGGCCGCCTTGTTCTGGCTCTGGGTGTTGGGGGGCCGCGGCGCCTCAAAGTGCGTCAGAGGTTTGGTGTTGTTGTAGTTCGGCATGGTGCCTGAGGCCTGAGCCCCTGGTGCCGGTTGGTGGCTGAGGGGTGGCCCTGACGTCGGGTGACCCATCATGTTGGGGTGTCCAGTGGGCCCCGGCATGTAGCTGCCGGCCCCCGCCTTGGGAGAGCTTTTGTTGGGCTGACCGGGCATCAGCAGCTGCTTCTGAGCGTTGGGGTTGAAGTCCTGTGGGTACAGGGAGGGGCTCGTGGGTTTGTCCATACCAAACGCGCCCCCTAGTGGGCTCTGAGAGGTGTTGGCCATCTGGGGCCAAGGCGGGGGGTGGGCATGGGGCCCCTGGTTGTGGAACTTGGTCCCCGGCTGTGGCTGTTTGTGCTGCATCTGGCCGTGGAGGTGCTGGGCTCTCTGCTGCTGGGCAGCCAGCTGCTGGAGCTGCTGGGCGGGGGACAGGTCTTTGGGCACCGGGGGTCCTGGAGGGAGAAGGTGGTTGGGGGGAGGCTGAAGCTGCCTAGGTGGAGGAGCTGGCTGGGATGGTGGCAGAGCTGGGGAAGAGGCAGAGGAGGAGGCAACTGGCGAGCTGGTTGGGTGAGGAGGCGGCCCAGAGGAGGTGGACCTGACCTGGGGGGAGCCAGTGCGAGAGTCCTGCTCGAAAGCTACCGAGGCCGGGGAGAACTCCGTCTTAACGCTGGCCAGATCTGGAGGAAGCAGACCCTGTGAGGACTGGCCTCCCCCACCACCTGCTACTCCTCCTGCTCCTGCCCCAGCGCCACCTGGAGTCGGCACCAGCTCCAGAGGGTCTTTACGGTCCTCAAACCCGTCATTGAGAATGTCCTGGATGTCCTCGTAGGCCACAGAGCAGTTCAGCTCCTCCATCAGCTCCGTCCACTCCTGCTCGTTCAGGTTGAGGTCGGGGAACAGGCTGTTGTTGCCTCCTCCCGACGGCGGCATGATGGGCAGGATGTCATCGGGCTCCTGCTTCATCTCTTTCCGCTGGAAGTCCGAACCTGCTTCCCTGCCGCCGTCCGTCGACTCCCCAGCCTGCGCGTGGGTCCCGTTAGAGTTCAGAGCGTCGCTGATCCCCAGCTTGGAGTCCAGTGGGGAGCCGTTGGTGGTGCCGTTGTCCAGACAGGCCTTCTTGTTGGGAGGGAAGCCGTCGCTGAAACCATTGACCTGATCTCTGCCCAGCGGAGAACTGGCACTCTCCAACTTCCTCTTCACTGTCTCCTGCAGCTGGAGGACCAAATAGAACGATCGAGAATTAGTAAAAGCAGTAACACTCTGCCATCACCACAAACACGAGGGTTCAAACCCCAACCCTGCTAATGTGTCTTTGAGCAACAGACTGAATCACGCACAGTGTGAGGGGGGGCTGAGAAAGTCTGAATAACAGTCCAAAAACATATTTAAAAAAAATCATGTTATTAACAAGAAAAAGTGATTTAAACCTGTTGCAGAGATACACTGAAGCTCTGGACTTCGATATTTGCTGATGTTTAGGAAACAAATCTGTAAATTATTAAGAGTTAAAATATTTACGGGGTTCCAAAACATTTTCATGGACAATATTTCAACACTTGTTCATAACTTCTCAAGGACCAGTAATAACATTTAATTCTTGCCCTACTTGCCCGTATCACATATCATACTCAAACACTTAACATAATTTCAGTTAGTTGTCATACATGGAGGAAGACACGGAAAGTGGGGGGAAATGAAAACGCATGTGACGGTAAACAAAATGCTGTCACACATTGACACATATTGGAGCTATGTTAAGTCAACAGCTTCAGAAAATAAATTTGCGGTAATATTAAATTACATGGAAGGTTATCTATGGAAGATTACTGTCACAATATAATCAAACATAACAAAATGCCATGCCTTTTCCAAAACTTTAAATATTTTTTTACTAATTCAATGACTTTTCCAGGCCTGGGAAATTTAACTGAAATTCCAAGACATTTCCAGGTCTTCCATGACCGTAGGAACCCTGTACTTATAGTTTCTACTTGACATATTTAGTTTCAAGTTGCAAAAACTATAAATTACTTTCAATGCATCTCTATTATCCTAGTTGTTTTTGACACTGGCTAATTCCTGAAACTATTTACAGGGTGCAACTACCGATTATATTCATAATTAATTCGTTGGCTGCTTATTTTTTAATCATTTAGTCCAACCATAACAATTTCCAGAGCCCAAGGTGCAGCCTTCACTTCAAGGCTCGAACTAGTGGATGTTTGCTTAAAGGAAACGACCACTGATTCATCGATTAGAAAATAGTTGTATTTTAATCTGATGATTTTATTTCCAAACTATTTAAGCAACAATTGCAGCTGTAATTGTCTTAATTTAGACATCTGCATCATGAAATGAGGTTATTTGGGAGTGCTGAGTAACAAAGCCAGCTGTTGAATAATGACAGAATTTCTATTTCAGTATCCTGCAGGAGCCGCGTTCCAGCTGCAGGGGGCGCTGCAGCTGAATGGACAGAATTATGAGAGCTGAAGCCAGCAGACGACGGGAGTGAAAAAAGCTTGTGAGCTGCTGCCGATAATAGAATCAGCTGCAGGCAGGCTTACATAATGCAGATAACAAAGAGCTTCCTCAGAGCAGTCAGCAGATCAGATCTGTTCACTCTGCAGGACAACACCGGATCTGATGGGAACATTCAGAGCTGCCTCCGCATCAGCTGATCTTCACACGCTCTCGTTGTGCGATTATCAAAGCATCTCAACACCTGTTCGGTCTTCACAGAAAAGACTCGACAGGTGAATCCAGGTGAAGCTCGGTCTGGTGTTTACAAACAGAAACAGACTGATGGAAACAGCCTGGTTTTAACTTTGGGCTCTGACACATGTAAAACACCTTTATATCGTCACTTTACTACCTGCTTACATCTCTGTACATATCGCCTATTTATTACTTCTCATTGCAGAAATACATTCCCGTCTCCAGTTTATTCACTTTGCAATAACAGTCGACCACTAATACTTATTGTATTTTTTTACAATTCAACTTCTGCACATACACAACTTCTTCTTTGTACACATATCTACAGATCTAAAATGTTAATTGCTGACGGCTGCTTCTCTGTAACTGTTGTGCATCTGACAATAACATGAAACTTGACACTACCGATGCCTGACCATAGAAACCTTTTGTTTTACGTGACTTTCTCTTGTAAACAACACAGCAGCTATTGGCAGATAGTATGTTTGGGCTGGTGGTGTCTGTAGATCATTGGGTACTGGTAATTTCAAATGAAAGTAGGTGTTTGGAGAATTATATTTGGATGTAATAAAGCGTTGCAAAGTTGTGGCTTTTGAAGTGTGTAATCTGTGGACGTTTTATGTAACAACACAGAGTCTACAGCTGACAGTGACAATGACTAACATGCTGATGTTTAGCAGGTATAATGTTGAACATGTTTACTGTCTTATTGTATGCTAAGGTTTGATAATTTGCAGTAAACATAAAGTACAGCTGAGCCTGACGGGAATGTCATTACTTCTTCAAGTATTCAGTCATAACCAAAGTGTAGGGACACATTACGATGCTGACCTGATGACAGAGTGATATCCTTGGGATCAAACAGTAGCTAACCTGCTGCCTCTGTAGCAGCCTGTTACTGCAAAAGGAAATGTGTCCTCAGATAACCAACGTGATTATAAACAGCTAATGAATTTAAGTACAAACACTGATCTGTAATCCAGCCTGAAAACCTGATCAGATCGTCTCTACAGTACAAGGAACGAGATAAAAAGTTGAGCCTCATGAGCAGAGTGGCGTCAAAGTGTGGACAAAGGTGATGTCTTCCTCTAAATATGCTGAGAATTTCCTGATTAGCCCGACTGGTGCCAGAATGGTAGAATCAAAACATTTGGACACAGTTAGTTGCCCAGTAGCACCAAAACCAGCAAAAACAGTTTGGATTATAAGGTGCATAAAACCTAAACTGTGTGGAGGCAGACACAGGTCTGGTTTTAACCCCTAACTGGGCTAACTTGGGCATAACCCACAGTACATGCACAGGAAGGAGAGGACTGAAGGCCCAACCTCTGCAGCACTGGTGCACTGCTTTGAGGAACTGACTGAAAAGGAAAAGAAAAGTGTGATAAAGGTGCATTTTTATCATGTTGTGACACAGAAAACGCCTGTGTGGGTGTGCAGAGACTTAAAAACAAGGATGGGTCAGCGACATCATCGAAGTGTCTAACAAGTAGGCTTGAACTGTACAGCTTTTTTTCATACCTTCCAGACATTTCACCAGGATATATAGTAAAGACGGCACTTGTGAAAACAAAAAAAGTTAAAGCTGAGCTGCTGGTTGTTTGAAGTCACTGCACGTTTTCACGAAGTCAGAGGAAAAAGCAGATCAGAGACGAAAACAGTCACTCATTCAAATGTGAGTTTCAGTTTCTGCTGATACAGTTACTCTCTCTCATGTGAACTCACTCTGGTTTTCAAAATCAAATTTCCAGCTGTAGTTTCAACCAAAACATCGAAGATTTCTGAAGCATGTGAACATACATACACTCTGCGTTTTGTGTTTGTTTTACTGTTAAAGTTAACTCATCTTTCAATGTGCCTCCAGCACATTGCAGCTCCAGCATCAGACTAGAAATGCTGAAATAAGCTGTTTGACTTTGGCACCGCTGTAGATATGGATTCAGAGAAAACCCAATACAACATGACAAACATACAGTAGTTGTATACAGTATGCTGTATATTAATCATTATAATACACTAAGGAATCCTGCAATACCTACACACTCTGACAAACAAACTGCAACTTAAGAATTGAAAAACAAGCTTCTTTTAGAGTGAGTTTACTTTATTTTGTCAGTGTTAGTCACACATTGTGGTTGTGTTCTACAGATGTCATTACTGCTATGCTTATCATTTTACCTGAGTCAGTGGCAACATTTACAACCTGGTAGTGATACTGAAAGAGGCTCTGGGTCTGTTTGTGTCTGGATTAAGGAGAGAAAGGTGAGTCTCACTTGAGGGAACGATAATGTGCCTGTAAAGCCCCGTTTCCACCAAACGCTTTCGGTACATTACCTTCTGAACCAGCAATAACCCTTCAGACATGGTACCTACAACCTAATGTTTCCACCAGAAACAGTCCTCTTAAATGTGGGCGGGGTTGTTGTCACTCACTGCTCCGTCCAGCACTCGCTGTATTTCCTCATCAGCGGTAACACAGACGGAAGTCTGCACCTGGTTTATCGTCCACAGAACGAGGCTGCACGCCCACATTTTCACAACAAAATAGAACAGGCTGCAGTGAGAGTCTTTCTCCATGGGATATTTAAAAATAGCAGCTTTGTGCATTTAGTCCTTCTCAGGCAAGCTCAGGGGTTTAGTGTTGCTGTAGCCCACAGGAAGTGAGGATTAGAATATATGACCTTCACATAGTATGGCCAAAATTAATATATATTTTTAAACACTTTAAGACTCATTACTTAAAGTGTATGTCATTCAAGAGAGACAATAAAAACTAAAGTGATGGTCAGAGTTGTCACAGTGAAATTTAAGGTGTGCTGATGGATTCATGTCATCAACTCATGCATTGAGTAACATTACAAGTTAACGTTCCACCTTAAAAGTTGCCGGCAGTCGGCCCAGTGAATGAAGTTATTTTTTCTCAGACTCCAGCTGCTGTGAGAGGCAGCAAAACATCTTTTCATTTTATAGTTACAGTTTACTAATAAAACTCTCCACAGTATGAACAGTGGTTACATGAGCCTCAAAACCAGACACAACTCACAACAGCCCTGAGCAGAGTGACCGTCCTCTACTGACCAATCAGACTGCAGTGTTCACAGCTACACCTTTTAGTACCAGATCTGTGTGCTAGGTACCCCAACAGAGGGGGGACCAAACATGGGGACGCTAAGGAACAGTTCTGTTGGTACCATACACAACTTTTCACAGTGGAAACACAAAGAAGCGTATTGAAGTGATCTGTACCGTACTGCTTGGTGGAAACGAGGCTCAAGTTTCAACACATCACCAGGGTGACGACTACAGAAACAGACTTTAGTGTGTGTCTCCCTGGATCTAGAGCTGCAACTATTAAACTATCTAATCAATCAGTCAATTGATGGGAAATTAATCTTCAACAATTTTGATAATTCACAAACCATTTAAAGCAGAAAATTCCTGGTTCCAGCTCCTTCTTTTGGTTGATAGTAAACTAACAATCTAAAACATTTGAAGAC